CTAGCTGATAAATGCTCCACTGGTTGCTAACTGGGCCTGATTCCAGTTTGGTACTAAGCAGGTACAACACATTTTATCAGAGCTTCTCTTATGAAAACAGATGCATCTGGAAACAACACTGATAAGAGTTGTGAAACCTCAAACAGTGAGGTAAAACAACTGAGGGGAAGTGCAGATTTGTGCGATAATTTGTCATTATGAAGCACCTCTTCCATATGCACGTAGTCATCTGATCTAACTGGTGATATAATGCTTTAAAGTTTGTTTACACCAGTAATTTTAAATTTAGATGCTCTGCAAATGTCAGATTGGGCCTTTTACGTCAATGTTTCTTCTTGTGTGCTTGGTATTCAGCTAATAGGAGGTTGGACCAACTAAAAATACACACCTATTTCCTAGAAAATAACACAACTCCCTTCACGGTTCAACATACACAACCAGAAATAAACACTTGAAACTGAAAGCTTGCCTTGCTGTGGTGCATTTCACACAAACGCACGGCCCTCCCTCATCACAGGTTACAGCAGCATGAAATGGCACTTTTCTTTAAATTTACAAATGCATTCAAATATCAAATAGTAACTGGAAAAAGTGTTTTAGGCCCCAAACATTTTTCCAAGCGCAACTCCACCCATTTCAAAAGGTCAATCCTCTGAACAGAGCCCTCTGTGTTGCTTGTTTAAGGACCATTTTACGCGTTGCATCTGACAGGAACATCCGCTCTCATGCAACACTCACTCTACATCTCCTGACAGGCAGCCTGGTTTGTACTGAGGAGAGGAGGGTAGTGGAAAAGACGGTCTTTTTTTAGAGTGCTATTATTCTTGTGTGCTCGCATGTACGCACATGGAAAGACCCAATTTTGAGAGGAGAAACTCATCACAGAAATCATGTTATACCAGCATCTGTGGAGCCATTGAGGAACTTCATCTGCACCGTAATCAACCGTGTGAACTTAATCAGCGCCACAATTTATAATTTCATCATTAAGCGATGATGAAGCCGCCCCTTGCCTCCTCACAATGGGCTGAATAGACTTATCAGCCACATACAGGCCTCTGAGATTGTAACATGGAGCTTGTTTTCCACAAAATGCACTGAATATCTTCTAACCCATTAATAACAGGGCATTTGGTGACGCAGATAAGCCCGGTGGGATGACGCCGTCTCTTAAGAGCCCATTAAAAAGGCACGAAAACACGAGAGTGACTTCAGAGCGCTGGGCTTGTGTTGCCGAGACAGAGGTGGAGGGGCAGCAGCTGGTTAAAGACACACACATGCCCGGCATAATTAAACTCTCAAGTCGACACCCCCGTGGCAGGTTTATGAGGCGCCGCTAACAGGACGGCCTTCTGCAGCCTCGTGTGAAGGAGCTTCACCTCTGAAGCTTCCTGCAGAACCGCTGATCTCACAGAGACGCAGCATGAAAGAAACATCTGTGAAGCGCAGCTCGGCCCACTTGCTCACAACTCGCCAACACTGAAAACGCGTGAACATCACAGAGCTCGCCTGTGTGAGCGTGGGTGTGTTTTCCTGAAGGACCTGATGATGGCTTATGTAGCGATCTGACACCAATTAAACAGTAAACCTCCTGCAGCAAACAGACTGGTGTCGGTGGTTTCTGTAAAACGCCACAGACTGTTTGATTGGCAACTGCCAGCTCGGTTTGGTAAATTTGTTCAAGAAACCCTCTGATGTGAGTCTCCTCTGGGACTTTCCTGAAGTTACGTGGAGGCAAAAACAGGTTCGTCATTCAGGGATCAAATGGTTCATGCTCGCTTTGAAATTCAGGCCCAGATTACGGCACCTGAGCATTAACTTCTGCTTTTTATTGAACCACATAGTGCAATTTAGAAATGCTGACATCAAAGTTTGTTTGGCAGAGCAGCTGTGACTCCATGATTTTACAATCCTCTCAGCAGCACATGTAGCAGAGCAGACGATGAATCAATATCAGAAATATTAACACTGGTATTGGCATCAGTGCCAAAGTCAGGCTTTAAATAATACTAGAGGTATTTAGAATCATTATGATCGTGACCTATTTTGGCTGGATGATCGTTTGTGCACTTTTTTGTTACCTTGCTGAAAGTTGGGCTGAAACTTACAACGATTTTCATCATCAATTATAATGCCAATTACTTTCTCAATTCCTAAATTGTTTGGTCTATAAAATGTCAGTCATGTTTCATATTTGCATCAGTCATCCTAAAATGGAACCACATTTCACTCCAAAAGATTAGCAAAACTATCAACTGACCTTCAAAACTGTTGCCAAACGACTAATTATTTCAGATCTAGTGAATTTTTCATGAATTAACATTTAACTTTGAATGTTTACAAAAGCAAAATTACCATTTTTGATGTTACAAAAATTATTGAACAAATGAAATGACTTCATAATGTAATGTAGTGGTATAAAGGAGCACACCCTATAATCACACTGTAATATCCCTGATTTGTGCATGTCATTCTTGGCTGTCTGCACCGCTAAGTTGCAAATAAACTGTCTGAAAGATGTCTGAAATACCATTTATGTTTGATTTTAGGTCAATGCACTCAACTCGACAAAGGATTCCTATATAATTGGGCACAGAGACGTGTTTAGCAATAAATGACAACAGGTTCTAACCAACCGTCCTCCCTACCTGCATGAGCACCTCGTCTCAAAGGCAATTATAGAACCCACAGGAGAAACTAGACACACAAGTCTGCAGCAGCAAAATGTCAGTATGATGTCAACATTTCAACATCACGATAATCTAACAAAACCCCTTTCGTGCCTGCAAACACATTCCTCAGCATGCGTTCCCCTTCACTGTGCATCTGACATTAACTGCAGTGTGAGAGCGTCGTCTCTGCACCTATCTGGACTTTATCTTCATACCGCTGCAAAGCCAAAACACAACGGCAGAAAACCGGCCTTGAGAAGTTCTGTTAGAGTCACAATACCGAACAGTTTCCCCACTCGCATCACATCTGAAATAACCTGTAAGTGCATCTGAATGGAGATCCACGAACTAGTCACTCCATCGCTCCGCCTACGCCGTGTCTGCACTACATGGCCCGGCTGACTTCACGTGGGCAGCTGAGCTTTATTTCACAGCTGAGCAAATGATTTTCCTGCTGCAGTTGTCAAAAGTGGCCGACTGGCTCCGGTGCATCTTTATACCATCTACAGTTTCTTTATATTGTTCCTTCCTCCACAAACTTCTGAGAGTCACTCCCCCCCACCCCTCTCCTGGTTGAGGATTACTGGAAAGAGGACTCTGCTTTCACCACACACCCTCCCCCACACCTATACAGGGGCTAAAAGTACACCCATCCATCCATGTTGGCAAGTGAAAGGCCGGTCTTGTTGCCCTGGCTTACGTGCACCTGCCGGTTAGCCTCTATCGCATCATTCACAGCGCTCCGGGCCAAAGGAAGATGAATGCGCACGGCTTGGTTGGCCTTCAAATGTGGAATAAAAGTCCACTTTGTGCGACAGTTTTCACTAATCTGCTTGTGGTAAAGACGACACATCATCTCAGCTGACTTGAAATTCACAGCTTGTGGTGTCCCTTTTCTTAAAAATTTGGAGACAACAAACTCCAGCCTGTAATTGACATTCAGGATGCGTTTAAACTGTGCTTGCAGAACTTTTTCCACTACCCTGCAGCTGGAGACCGAGCTGTGTCGAAACAGAACGTTCTGAGCAACACGGGAGACATTTTTCACGTCTAGGAAGCACATTTTGGACATTTAAGGCTGCATGTATGGATATTGTACCTAAAAAAGCAGATGTAACAACGATACATGTGCATAAAGTGCATCAAAACATGTCTTAGAGGCACTTTGTACACATTTAAAGCTGCATGAGCTTTAAGTGTACGTGCAGATTTAAATTTAAATGACATTTTAGTTAATAAACCGCTACAATATCCATAACATGCAGCTTTAGACATGTATAAAGTGCTTCCAAACATATCTCAGAAACTCATTTTACATGTTTAAAGCTGCATGTATAGCTGTAGTAGATAATAAAGCAACTACAACATCCATACATGCAGCTTTAAATGTGTATAAAATGCCTCCAAACATGCATTAGAAGTACATTTTACACATTTAAAGCTGCATGACATTCCATTTTACACATCTAAAGTTGCATTTATGGATGTTGTAGCTGGTTTATTAGTACAGCATCCGTACATGCAGCTTTAAGTGTGCATAAAGCGCCTCCAAACGTGTCTTGTGCACATTTACAGTTGCATGTGTGTATGTAGTAGTTGGTTTACTAGTTGTAACATCCATACATGCAGCTTTAAATGTGTATAAAGTGCTTCTAAATATGTCTTAGAAGCACATTTTACGCATTTAAAGCTGCACTGATGGATGTTGTAGCTGGCTTATTAGCTCCAACATCCATACATGCGGTGTCATGCGTGCACAAAGCGCTTTCAAACGTGCCTTTTACGCATTTAGAGCTGCATGTATGGATGTAGTAGCTGCTTCACTCAAAGCAAAAAACAATCAGTGTTGGAGAAACTTGTGATCTCAGGGTCTTATTTTGATTCCTTGTACTAACTGCCTCTCTGTTTAGCAGGGACCCTGTGGGCCCCCTTCAAGGACCTTGTGCCTCAGTTTGCAAAACCGCTGGAATAAACACTGGAGCGACTGTGCGCTTCGTGCCTTCTCCTCCTCCACAACAACAACAACAACAACAACAAAAAACAACAACAAAAAAAACCCCAACGCTTCCCACGGTCACATTTAGCTGCAACACGACCAGACAACAAGTCGCTGCTTGCACGGAGCCCAACTTGCATGCATTCGCGCAAACAGCCCGAGTGTGTGTGTGTGTGTGTGTGTCTGTGTGTGATTGTGTGTGTGTGCGGCAGGACTTCTTGGACACCACCCCCACCTCCACGAAAAAAAAAAACCCCATACGCCGTGTATCTGCCTGCTGTATGTGGTGTATTTTATACACAACAACACTAATCGGACTCGTGAGAACTTACAATTTTACTCAGATCCATTCTCGTTGCCCTCCAAAGAAGCGGTGATCCTCGGAGCCGGAGAGCAGCAGGAGGAGGAGGAGGAGGAGGAAAGAGGCTTTATCCTGACGCGGAGTAATTAGTAACGGGAAAGCGATTGAGGCAACAAATGCATTTGGGAGGAGAAGCGAGAGGAGGGGGGGAGGAGGAGGTGGTCCGTTAGCTCAACATGTGTCCCGATTTGGTATTAAAAAAATGCGCCTCTGGATCCTTTCCTTCCGCGTCCCTTCTCCTTCTTTCTCTCCCCCCTTTACGTGCGCACTTATCGCCGAGGACTTCCAGCATCCGACCGCCGACGAGCCGCGGCTGTCTGGGAGGAGAAGCCCGGAGGACTGAGGCTCATTCTACCGCCGCCGCCGCCGAGTGGATCAGTCCGACACCAGGAGGCCACCTTTATTTTGCAAATAGCCCGCTCTCCCCAGTTAGACAATAGTAGCATGGAGCCCGCAGAGTGGGATGGCTCAAACCCCCGGTGGGGTTCCCAAGCTGGGGTCCGGGGACCGCCGGGGGGTCCTGCTAGAAAGGAGGGGTGGGTCTGAAGAAGGAGAGGGAGAGTCCAGGAAATGACAAGAAGAGCTGCTTCACCAGAGCTGTTGATTCATTCATGATCTCACCTGCAGCCACCAAATCAGCTCCTCCTCTGAGAGTCATCATGATTATGATGTAAGAAAAGGAGCCATGGCTGCTACACCAGAGTCAATCATCATATGATTCTGATCAAAGACCAGAAATAAAGACTTAAGTCGAAGAAAAACTTTAATCCCAAAGTGCACACTGCATTTCCTTGTGCTTGTACTCAATGACAATAAAGTGGAATCTAATCCAAATAAATTGAGTCTCAAAAATAAATAAAGATAAAGGACTGGTATCTTGTTAATTAAGATTTCAAAAGGTAATCAGAGGGCCCTGACTGTGCACCACACACCCTGTTCGCCCACCAGGTGGACGTTGTGGAGGACATGGGGTGGTTGTTGTTTTTTGACAACAAAGCCAGACTTGCAAAGGTAACCACTAATCCACTACCAGCTGCAGACGGCCGCTATAAGACGTCCAGGTGGACACAGACTAGCGCACCTTCAGAGTAAAGATGACAGGCGTAGACTTCAGGGGGTTGCAGGGGATACACACCCTTTGCATTTAGATAATGTGCATTTAAAAAAACAAAAAGAAAAAAAACAAGCATAGCATTACTCACTGTGCCTGAATTTAGTGTTTTCCTTTGCTTAAAAAATGAAAATAAAAAATTAACATTTCCACTATAAACTATTGCAGAAAGAGGATGAATTGGTGCATAAAACTTCACCAAAATGCAGGAAATTAAATGTTTGATGTTAAAAAATTCCTGGTGGAGGACACCAAGACCCTTCACTTCATATGTTCCTCCTACTATTGAGGAACATATGACGAACAAATGAAAACTACACATACACAATAATGTAACCGTAACCACATATGGCTGCTGTAGAAACACTACTAAAAACATATCCTGAGAACCATGTATGTTTTGTCCAATATTCCCTTTGTGTGTAGAAAGATTAGGCCAGTTTCAGCCTGCTTTTAAATCTCGTTCTTTATTCTGCCTGCAGTGATGTTGGTGCCTTTAAAAGAGCAACTTTCAAAAGGCGAAAAAAACTCAGCTTCCACCCTGAGAGCAATTCTGAGTAACTGACGCCCCCATCTGGTTTCTCTGAGACTGTCAACTAAAGTCTGTGTTTCTGTTTTTATGCTTCATGAAGTCAAAGTACGATGACAGAGCTTTAGAACAGGCCTTATTAGCACAAGAAATGCTGTCACGTAACAACATGAAATGTCAGCTGATAAAAAAAAAAATCTATTGGTTTCACACATTTTAATCTCTTGGAAAAATCTATAAAGTTTCTAATTCTGAAAATGCAATTGCAATGCAATTTACATTTCTTTGGCTGGGACTTTCCCTGGCTAGACTTCACTTGCAGTACACACTGTAGATTAACAGGATGGCAACTTACTAGGAGTGCTACAATGCTCTATGTCTAGTATATTGGTTATGATTAAATGTTCCTAACTGCATGCTGGAAGGGAGAAGAAGGGCCGGGTGAGTCAACACAACTCAACATCAATAAATGCCTGTCATCAAGCATAATAAACCATAAATGTGAACTCACTGGCTGCTGTATTAGGTGTCATCCATAAAATCTGCTGCAGTCCAACACAGCAGCAGTGTAGAAGTGTTTCTCAAGGCTTTGCCCATCTTTTCTTTAACAAACACAAGAGGGGAAAAATACTAGAAACACTCCACTATAAGGCAGTCCACTAACAACACAGCTCAGCAATAACAATGCAGTTCAATTGAGATCTCTTGGGAAAATTACTACATATGATAAGCATGTCACACATAGAATATGTGGCAGATTGCAACTACATACTTTTCTGACACCTTCTAAAGCGGTTTTAACCAAATAGAAAAAGAAAATCTGAAAAATCATTTTTAAACCAGCTTTCTTAAATGGGGTTTCATTTACTCGAGCATAATAGACATTTTTGCTTATCTTATGGTCAGAAATAACAGGAAAATGCATATATTTAAGTCAAACAAGGTAAAACGTACTTGTGGCCTTTACTTTACCGATCAGTCCAACTGTCACACGTGCCCATTCTGAGCCTGGAAAAACCCGAACAAACTAGCCAGGATATGTACAGTACCATGCATTTAGATTCTTATCAACTGCAAAGTACCATTACAGAGGCGCCTGATGGTCCCACATTTATTCTGCAGCCCAACAACAACCCTAAACATACAGCCATGTTCACAAAGAAACATCTTCAGCGACGAGAAGAACAAGGATGAGCCCTGATCTCAGCGTCATTGAGTCAGTCTGGGGTTACGTGAACAGACAGAAGACACAGACACAGCCTGAAGCCACAGAGGAACAATAAACCCACAAGATCCATTTTTAAATCCAGGCCAGGCTTTTCTCTACAATCACAGGACATCAGCTGACTGAGCGAAGTCCAGGCCAGTCACAATAATCAATATGCTGCTCATTAGACCAGTGGGGCAGGGCACTATACCTCCGGGCTGCTCTACAGTCTGTCTCCAAACAATGCCGGCTATTTTCCACTGAGTCTCTTCACATCCTGGTACGGCGTGGGCCCTTCGCCGAGGGGCAGAGCATTTCTCACATACAGCGGTCCCACTCTGTCTGATTCGCACTCTGAAACACTCTTGTCCATCTTACAAAGTCTACCCACCTGGAAGGAAGGACCCGTCCTGCATTCAACCCTACACATACATAATACATATATATATAATATAAAGTATTGAGTTCTCTTTCACCTGGACAAACACTTTAAAGGGTTTTTATATCTCCAAAAATAAAAAGCATCAAACCTGAACTTGTTGAAGAATGCAAAGAACTGTATCTTTTTTATTTGTTTTGGGAGCGTCGAAATGTCGTCATGTGTATTTGTGCAGGGCAGACGAGGTGACAGTTCAGATTAATCATAAACTAAAAGCTTGGTTTTGATTTCTGTGTTATTTATTTTGGAAACATACCAAGTGGGCTGAGGAAGTGGGGCAGATTTTTATTGCAAATTCTAGCAGGTAGTGAGAAAGCAATGACCAGGAAACGTCTGAGTGGAGAGTCTCCAACAGTTCCTGACTGGATAGAAGTAGTTCAGGAAATTTATATTCTGGAACGATTTACTTCTTCCCTGGGACATGCCACTGAAAAATATGAGACTGGATAAGCTAGAGAGCTTAAGTATGAAATGCTTTCTTTGCTGTATATTTATTCTCTTTGGAGAAATTTGTTTTATTGCCTTCTGTACTAAGGCCAACAGAGCAGACTTTTCTCGTTATGAACGACCAAATATCTTGGTTTTGCCTGAAAGCAAGCATCATAAGGACAACCATTGACCAAAAAGACTCACAGACTTCAATATCTGCAATGTAATCCAGCTCCTTTTCATTTCATTTTAAAGGATGTCCCCTTATATATGATGTCCCTGTCTGCTTTCTGATGGTCTGTCTGTTCTGCTTTTGTCAAAAAATAAAAAATGAAGTAAAATAAGCACTTTTGTTGTTCCGAATAAACAGATAGGTGAAACAAATGCTGAGTGAGTGCAATTTAATAAAGGCCGGCTTTGTTTTTAATACTGTCAGCGTCCACCATGTGCCATCTTTTCTCTTACATCTTTCCATTTCCAATAGATCTTTTTTCGCAGCGGATATTTAGATTTGTCAAAGTGGGGAAAAGCACAAGTGCATTCATGACGGCTTAGTTCAGTAAAGTATCAAAGTAAACCATGACAGTGACGCAGCATCCACCAAAGGAGGACCTCTTCAAAAAGGAGTGCAGCCATCACTAATACACTTGACTGTGCTTTCTCTGCTGTGACAAGTTAGAAAGGTATATTAACCTCTGAGTATCATGATGGTGCTGAATAGATGAAGTTCCAACTTAGTGGTGGTGACAGACGTTTACTTATCCACTGTTACAAACCTCCTCCTATACTGATGACATGACATGCTCGAAATCTAAGTCTTTCTATATGTGAGGTCTGTTTTATGCTTCATTAGAAAACAGCAGAGCAATTTAAGTGCTTTAAAGGTCTGCTAAATATTGAAGTCTGTCTTTATTTACGCAATGAAAATGCATATTATATCTTAAGTTAAACCTTTTCTGAAAGTTATGCAAAGACAACCTCAAGGAAAAAAAAAAAAAAGTGCACTTCCTCAAACGTCCACTTGAGGCCCTCTCCAAAAGTGAGTCAATCCACATAGGCCCCCATGTTAAAATACAAAACTTTACAGCAGAAATAAAGACGTTTATAGGCTGGTATAAAACACTGTTTCGGTCTCTAATGATAGTTTCCTTGTTCATGCTAACTGCAGGGAGTACATTTTCATATAACTCTCCCATTTAGGTTGTATTAGGGCTTAAAGTGATACATAATTAATGATAGTGATAATGAGACATTAGCGCACTCCACCTCATCTCCACTCCCACTCCACCTCTTTGCTGATTTTTGGATTAGTCCATAGACTGTATAAAAGATGGACGTAGCAACCGGCCCTGAAAAATAAAGCCAACCCGGAAGTGTCAAAAACCTGCAATATCACTACGTCCGCGAGCTGCTGGTTCCAAAAAGCCCTGGCTCCCATAGACTTGAAATGGAAAAGAAGTGATCACAGATCACGAAATACCGCATTCCTCCAGCTCAGGATTTTTTCTTATTAGTTTTCATAGTCAAGTCCAGAGATCAGGTGGCCAATCTGAAAATAAATCAACACTGAATTTTTAAAAAATCGTCAACATTTTGCGGGGCAAGGGGCGTGGCTGGCTTGATTGACAGTCGGCAGCGACGATGCAGACTAAGCAAGCAGAAGTTGGTAAATGTGGGCGGGCAGAGAGGGCCCGCCTCTCAATCCGTCTGACCAATCGCTGCTCCTATGGCTCCGCCCCCCTCCGACGATTTTTGCGTCACTGGCTCCAAAAATCGAAGATGTCAACCAGGAAGTAACAAAACCCTGGCTTCATTTTCTCAGTGCAGAAACCACTGGGTGACGTCACGGTAGCTACATCCATCTTTTATACAGTCTACGGATTAGTCATGAGTGAGGAGGAGTCAGACACTGAGCTTTAAAAGCACTGTTCAGGAACCACATGGGTGACGTCACAGAGAGTTTGTCCGTCTTAACGTACAGTCAGTGAGTATGACTTAGGAACAGGTTGTTGTATGAAGCCAAAAACACATTCTGTGGTGAGCAAACAAGCTAAAGGGGGTGAAAGCCCACTAAAGTCAGTGCCTCCTCCCCTGACTCAAGAGTTACGACATGTCCTTTTCAAAGAATGACTTTACATCTCCCAGTGGAACACAACGCAGCCTGGAGAAAGCATTCAGTTCAGATGCAGGAGTTTGCGTTGTGTACATATCTGGGTGAGCGGTGGGTGTTTACATCAAGTCCACCAACAACGGTGAAAAGGCCAAATAATGCCTATGAATTATTCAACAAAAGGAGGTTCCTCAATAGGACTGAAACCCACCATCCACGTCTTCATCATTTGTAGGAGCAGTGATAATAATAATAATGAACTAAGGATGATTTTATGCAGCCTGCTCATCATCAGCTCAGGCATCCATCAGGCTAAAAGTTTGACCTTTGGGATTATTTTGGCCATAAATATGTTTTCATTTTCACTTTGTACATGTTGAATAAACAAGCATCCACGTGAGCTGGTATGCAGAGTACAAGGGCTGGATTCAGTGTTAGTGGAATTATATCCTGATATTATGATCATTCAATGTAAATCCTTCAGCAGTCTTCTGTTGGAGAAATGAATAACTTCAGCAAAGAAGCAAAAACTGAGAAAAATCAGCCTGAAGCAATGTAAACCTGTTGCTATAAGTGAAAATATGCATGTTATTACTGTAACATTGATTCCAACCACGTTGTCAGCTTTAGTCACAATGTTTATTGCCACATCACTGAGGACTGTATGTACTTTGATGGTTATTGAGAATGAGGT